TAACTATTTTAACATGTTTTATTTTTTTGCAAAAAAAAAAACCTTTGCCAAACACCCCTATGTCTCTATATTTTTATCCTCGTTAGTGTTGGTGGTGTACTTGAGGGATGGACCAAAATATTTTAATCAAATTTGTTTTTTTTTTTCCGTCAAAAGTTGACAATATATTTGGTTGATAAGATAATTCGAGGGATAGTGGAGACCTTGTTGAGTAAAAATCAAAATAAGGTGTGATTAGGGGTTGTTTGGGGTGTCTTAAATAAATATATTTTTTGTCTTTTTGGATTAAAAAATTGAGGAAGAAAATATGGATGTTTGGAATATAGATGTTTGGGTTAACTTTTTGACTTTTTATGAAAAAATATGTAATAAAAAATTGTAAAAATTGGTTTGTAGGGAAAAATTAAAATTGGAAGTTGTGCAGCCGTAATTGTTAACTTTGGTGAATAGTATTAACTTTTTAATTTTTTGAGTAACTTTTTAATTTTTTGACTTTTTTACAACATGTCAAACTTGACCTAAGTTTGCACGAACTTAAAAGTGAAGGTGGTACATATTAAAATGAGGGTAAATTGAAAGCTTAGGCAAAAGAAGATAAAAATATGATAAAATTTCAAAATCTATCTGTCTTAATCAAGTATTAATATTATATTGTAACTTGATTTCAAATTATCTAAATTTATTTTTTATACTCTCTTCATCTCAAAATATTAATCTATTATTTTATTTTTTATTATCCCAAAATATTAGTCCCTTTTTCAAAAATTAAGTACAAAAATAATATAAATTTTCTATTTTGCTATTCTTTTAAAATCATTGACAACATAAAAAGTATAATTATAACATTGGTATTTCTCAAAAAATATACTATCAAAAGGTAATTTTGAAAATTTAATTTTTTTAAAGTGTAATAATTGTACTATCAAAAACAAGTTAAATTTTTCAAAAGAAACTATTATTTTGAGATGGAGAGAGTATTGTGCAATACACCGATGTTTCACATTGTCTTTACAGTGTTGAAACATTTAATAACACTATAAACGTTGATAATTAATCTTCATATCAATCAATATCAAAAAAATTAAAAAATAGATCACAAGTGAGACTTTGTTATTTGTGTTTAAATTATATTGTTCGTGTGTGGATAATTATAGCGGTATATTTATATGTAATAATATCTTATGAATTAAGATGATAAAATACTTTATTGGTCATAAATAATAAATTACGTATAGAATCCCCTCATGCAAAATATAAATTACCCATACCAGTCAACCTATCCACAATCAATAATTTTGTCTTCCAAGCATTACACAACTCACAAAATTTAAGTTTACAATGATGTATTACCATGGGCCAGCTCTTTCTAGAGGTGCAGTATAATATTTTTGTCTACAAAAGTGATTGGTAGCTCGAAAGAGAGGCCTCTGAATCCCCCAAAATTAAAAAACGACGTCGTTTCGTCGTTTTGAATTTTTTTTTTTTTTTCAATCAAAATAGAAGAAGAAGAAAGAAGAAGAGAAGAAGAAGGAAGAAGAAGAAGAAGAACTGGAGGGGCCAACATCAATTGGGAAGAAGAAGAAGAAAAAGATCTGCAACGAGCTGCGACGGGGCTGCGGCGAGCTGCTACGACGATCGGCCGGTCGATCGATCGGCGGCAGCGGAGGCGGAGGAGGGGCCCTCTCTATCTCTCCATTCCCTATCTTTCTCCCTCTCTTTCTCTTTCTCTTTCAGGCTGTTCGGGGAGGCTCAAAATCGAGAAAAAAATCATTTTTCTTTTTGTCTATGAGGTGCTTGAATTCCATCAAGTTGTCAAACCCGTCTAAATTCTCCTTTACCATCGAATGTTAAATCTTAACCTGTCGTGTCAAATGCAAGCTCAAATCTTAGGTCTCGTTTGGGAACAAGTTTTTTTTAATAACTTTTTTATTTTTTAGTTAAAATGTGATATAAAAAAAACTAGTATGTTTAGGATGACTTTTTGACTTTTTAAAAAAATATGTGCAAAAAGTAAAAAGAAAATGAAATCTTTGACTTTTTTGTATAAATTGTTAACTTTTTTATTTTTTTAATAACTTTTTAACTTTTTAGTTAAATCGATCGCTTCTCAAACGAAGCCTTAGTCTAATAAAAACAACTCATGCCACAAGTAAGCTAAACGCCCATAAATGCATGTCTCATGTCGCTTTATGACATCAAACTCGCCCTTGAGTACGGTGTTCGCCCAATTGAAATCCAACTCAATTAAGACGCCATGCTCATAAATTAAATTCCTTTCAATACATTCCTTATACATTTTTCAATAATGAATAACATTTAATTCAACAAAACACACTTCAATAAGAGCTAAATTATTTATTTTCAATAATTTGCAACCACATGACAAAATTAAAATATAATGTTTAAGAAAAACATTTTTTTGAAATTTTATTTTTGAGAATTTACAAGAGCAAAGGATTTGACATTTTTTAATATGTATATATATACATATATCGGTAGATTATTGTATTTTTTTACATTTTGCATATCTTTTCATCCCATCACCAACAACCTTCCTTTGGATGATGGCAGAGCACAAAGTTTTATCAACTTATGAATTTTGAATCCTACATTCTTTTTTAAAAATTTATTTAATAATTTAGATTTTAAAAAAAATACTAAATTTGATATAATTTATTCAATGAAAGTCAAATCTTTTCAAAAATACTAAATTTATGACAGAAACATCTTTTAACCCATTCAAACGAAATAAAAAATAACCTTTAAGGCCATCAAATTGAGAACTCATCATCAAATCATTTATCAAATTTAAATTTGATGACAATTTTAGAAAATACATTTCAAAAAAATAAAATTTTAGGATAAAAGGAAAATTTTAATAAAAATAATTGGAATAGTTCATATCAAACAAAATTGTTTATTTAAATTTCAAATCAAATTAAATTAAAAATTAATGAAGTGTTTGACATGGTCACCAATTTTTGATTTGGTATAAACTAATCTAATCTTTTTTAAAATTTCTCTTATATCAAATTTTCCTTTTTTATCAATTTTGATGAATAAAAATCATTTCCTATGGTTAATTTTTTTATAAAATAAAAAATAAAATATAAAAATTCATCAAATTTAAAATTGATGAAGCAAATTTTCAATTTAATAAAAAAAAATGACTAGTCCATAATTTGATAAACAATTGAGGCCATGTTTGTCAAGTGAGCTAGAGGTTATTTTAGCCACAATAGATTAAAAAATTAATAAAATAAAATGTTACATTCAAATTATAATTATATTTTTTTTTTAATAAAAATTAAAATGTTAAAAATTCCATCCTTAATAAGACTTTTTAATCTACGCTAAATAGCTAAAAAGCCAACACCTTCCCCAAATGAAGGCTAATAAAAAGATTGTACTTTTTAATGAAATTTATATTTGATGAAAGAAAAAATCTATGTATACTATATATTAAGCAAAACAGGATTTTAACCCAAAGTCTTGTGGGAGTTCTAATCTCTCAATCTAAATTTTTTGATTTTTTTATTTAAAAAAAAAAAATCTTTACATTTATTAACTTCTCCCAACCCCAAATCTTACCCTCATAATAACACTTTAATTCATTAAGAACAAACATAAAAAAAATTCTTTGAAATCCAACACATATAAATTCTTTAAAAAGTCTCAACACATATGATTATTATCCCTCATACTAACACTTTAATTGCATCAAGAACAAACATAAAAAAAATTTCTTAAAAAGTTAAACACATATGATTATTATCAAAATATTAAATTTTAATATAATATAATAAATAAAAAAGACATTTAATTCTTTGAAAAATCTAACACATAATTATTGTCAAAATATTAAACTTTAATATAACATAAAAAAGAAAAAAAAAAGACGGCATTTAAAAAAAAAGAAAACATTTAAAAATCATAATTTACATATATAGATAATTATAAACACAATCAGTGCATAACACGAGTAATATACTTGTAAAAGATTCTTTAAATGTGAATTGGCTTTTTAGTTTTTTAATTATTAGTTTTTGGTTAAAATCTCTCATTATGGATAATTTTCTTGACTTCTTAAATTTTTATTAGAAAAAACTGAAATGAATATCTTAAATATGAAATTTTATATTATTAACCCTTTAACTTGTTTTATCTTTTTATAACTATTTTAATCCCATAACCTTACGTCAAATAAGGGCAAAGGATTAAAAATTCTCTCATCCTTAATATTTTAACAATTTCATGAAAATTAAATGAAAAAAGATTTCTAAAATTTTAACAAAATGTTTGAATGACTTATTTTTTGACTTTTTAATTTTTTATAAAAAAATAAAAAAAAACAAAACAAAAAGCTAACATGACACATAAATTAAGGTATTATTATTATTATTTGAATCATTTATTTCTTTAACATATCACTTCAATTTCAATTTACATTTTTCTTGAAAAGATAAAAAAAAAAATACTAATCCAACACTTAAATTTAGCAAAAAAATAAATCTCATTTTCACTAATTGTTTACCCAAATTTAAATTTGTTTAAAAAACTCATAAAGAATTGAAACTAAAAGGTACTTTAAAAAACAAAAAGACAATGAAACTAAAAATAATACTTACTCAAATTTAAATTTCATGAAATACATTTACTTTTTCTCCTCTAATCGTGACATCAAACTTCCAACAAAGTAGAAGGAAAAAAACAAACAAACAAACAAAATTTTCATCAAATCAACAACTGCTTTAGCATTTGTCAAATTTTTAGAAAGAACTATTACTTCACCATGTGTCAAACAACCAATCAATTGTCCAGCCAATTATTATCCCAAATTATTTAGCCCATTACTGGTCAACTACCTAGACATCCTCCCAATCATCTACTTGATCAACCAATTATTTAATAAAAATTGAAAATTTAGCATTAAGAATACTTTTACCACAAATCCTTACTGAATTTTTTTTTAAAATAAATAAATAAATAAACGTTCAAAATGCTCAAACTAGACGAAATTTTTCAATAATCAACGCGAGATTCAATCCATTGATCCAATCGATAATGCCACTAATATAAAAAACACTAAAAACGATTACAACTGCTATTTTTCTTCTTCTCACAAATTTCCCTAGGCAGCAAGCAACAAAACAAGCAGGTTCTAAACCCAAAATTACATACAGAGGGAATAGAGGAAACAACCAAATAGTTTCCCTAAGCAGCTTTCTTGGGAGATTTTGTGGCCTTTGATGGAGATTTGGGTTCTTTGGTTGCAGCACTGCCAGTCTTCTTTGGCAACAGAACTGGGTTGATGTTGGGTAACACTCCACCATGTGCAATCGTCACTCCAGCTAGCAATTTTCCCAACTCTTCGTCGTTCCTCACTGCTAATAGAACATGCCTCGGAATGATTCTGTTCTTCTTGTTGTCACGAGCAGCATTTCCAGCCAACTCCAACACCTTCAAACAAACAAAACAAAACAAAACAAAACATTTTAGAGAGAGAGAGAGAGAGAGAGGGCGCGGGCGTCTTCGTTTTCTGAGGCATAAAGTGGAAATTCCGTCACTTTCTCAATAACCAAACACAACCCAACGCAGGCTACATGAGGTTAGCGCAAAGGCTTAGTAACTGTAATATTAAAAATAATGAAATTTATCGGCAAACGATGAAATTTTCGATAGGAAAAGAGAAGGCAATTCATTATCTGCTGTTAAATTTTTCTCAATAACCCTGCATTTTCTCAGTAACCAAACAGAACCACCTCAAACAAGTATTCAAAAGAGCAAATCGACGGAGACAAAATAATTCCACCAAATTCATCACAAATTACCAAAAACACAAAGATCTCAATCAAAACCCTAACCATTAATCCAAAACGGTAATCGAAAACAAAACAGATACACCTAGCCGAATCAAAACACAGATCTAAATCAAACAGTTACATGTGAGCAAACAGAGAGAGAGAGAGAGAGAGAGAGAGAGTTACTTCAGCAGCTAGGTATTCAAGCACAGCGGCCATGTAAACCGGAGCTCCGGTTCCGACTCGCTGAGCATAGCGACCCTTCTTCAAGTACCGGCCAATCCTCCCGACCGGGAACTGTAGACCGGCCTTGACGGACCGGGACACCGGTTTCTTCTTCGGACCGCCGCCTTTCCTCCCTCCAGCACCCTTCTTCACTTTTCCGGCACCGTCCATCTCTGAAAAAATTTTCACGACTTAAAATGACTATTTTGCACCCGAAGACTACAATGAGAACAATCTAATCCTCTAATCTGATGTAATTGTCCGAGAGAGCGTTTTGGATGGGGTTTTATAAAGCCGTCGTGGCCGTGTGAGGATTGTTGTGGATCGTTGATGTGTGTTTGGATCGACGGTGTTGGGAGGTGTGCCAGTCGATCCGTGTGATCTAAAATGAACCAATGGGGAGTAAGCGTCAATTTGAATTTTTTTCCCCAGCAATTTGTTACACTTTTTCCCGCCCGGAAATTTCACTAGACTCTTTTTCTATTTGTTGTGTTTTTGTTTACTAACCCAATCGGGGATAACATGCACTCTCCCTTTTTAATGCTACTTAAAATTGCACCCCATAACCAAAAGGTGAAAGACCAAAACAATTTAAAATGTGATCTTATATATATATATATATATATATTTTTTTTTTCTCTTATAAACCCCAAAAATTCTATTAAAATGAAAATTATGCAAATATTTGTCATTTACATGTTCGGGTTTAAGTTTTTAAAAATAAAAGTGAATTTCTTCAAACCTAAAATTACACATTTAGTAATTCATTATAGAAGTTTTGAATTTTCCTTTTTTTTATAACAAATCATACATTACAAACAAAAATATAACACTCTAATAACGTAACATTTTATTGTAACATACTAAAAAAATTATTGGTATATTTTTTCTCACACATAACACTTAAATAAAACTCTTTAATATATTTTTTCCATACATAGCGCTCCAATATAACACAAAAAAAAAACTCCTTAATGGTTGTTTCATAAACGTAATACTCCAATCAATGTAATCCCAAACGTAACATTCCAATATAACAGACATAAAAAACTAAAAAAAATTTTAATATACTTTTTCCAAATGTAACACTCATAATTTGAAATTATACATTTACCCAAAACTTACTAAGCCTTCGTTTGGGAAGTGGGTTGGCTTTTTGATTTTTTAACTTTTTTGACTATTTTAGCCTAGGCTAAAAAGCTTGGTTTGGGAAGGGCTTTTTGACTTTTTGGTTTTTTTTACTTTTTTTGTGAGAAAATAGTATAATGATTATGGGTTCGTTGTGATGTTTTGTTTGTTGTGGCTAAAATAACCTATTTTGTCTTTTATGGCTATTTTAGCCAAAAAAACCCAAAAAACCTCTTCCCATACAGAGATTAAGGAATTTTTGTACTATTTTTGGAATGATTTCAAAAATCCTACATGTTTTTGGAATGGTTTGAAATTTTCATATCTTTTTTTAGAGTGTTACATTTGAAAAAAATATATAAAAGAGTTTTTTTTTTTTTTGGTTACATTAGAGTTTTCACTAAAAAATATTTTAGAGTGTTATGTTTGAAAAAAATAACAATAGTTTTTTTTGTATGTTCATTAGTTTACACAAAGGAGTTTTTTTTTTAATATTATATTAAAGTGTTACGTTTATAAAAAATATATTAAAAAAGTTTTTTTTGTGTTACATTAGAGGGTTACACTAAAAAAAAATTGAAGTGCTATATTAGAGTATATTACATTTGGAAAAAGTCTATTAAGAAAATTTTTTAGAGTATTATGTTTGAATGTTACATTGGAGTGTTGTAGTTTGAAATTATACATTTTTTCAAAATTTACTAAAGAGTTTTCGTACTCCTTTTGAAATATTTGAAGAATCTCACATTCTTTGAAAATATTTGAAGAAACTCATATTTCAAGTCATTTTTGTATTCATTTTAAAATATTTTCCAAATTAAAAAAAATTATCATATAAACATCCATTTCAAATTTAATTCTCATATATTGTGTACCTTACCTTCATCGTATAAAAAAAATAAAAAATAAAAATAAAAAAAGATAAGGAAACATAATAGAAATAAAGGTATAATCGTAAATCTAATTTTCAAATAATATATTAAATTTACCTTTCAAAAATCAATGAAATTAATTGATGTATCAGAAAATCTTTTAAGACTAAATGGATTAGGGGTGTACACGGTCCGGATTGGTTCGGTTCTGAGAAAATCCAAGAACCGAACCAATCCTAACGGTTCTGTGATTTTGAGAACCAGACCAGACCGTTACACTTGTAAAACCGGACCAGAACCAAACCGAAAAAACGGTTCGGTTTCGGTTTGGTTTACGGTTCCAAAAATTTCTATTTACAAGAATAATTTATTAATATTAGCAAAATAATTATTCAAACTAATTACATTTAACTCATGATAAAAACTAATAATATTAAGGCATTAATTAATATTACATATATATACCATCCTAATATCATTAAAATTATAAAAAATCAATTAATAAAAATAAAACTTGATATTATATATATATATTTTTATCTTATTTTTTAAAATTCGGTTCGGTTCGGTTCGAACCGCGGTTTTTTCATAAAATCCATTAACCAAACCGTTTTTACGGTTCTCATATTTCTTAATCCGTAACCGAACCAATTCTTAATAGAACCGAACCAAACCGTATAATTCGGTCTGGTTCGGTCCGGATTACCGGTTTGAACGGATTTTTGAACAGCCCTAAAATGGATTACCATTTCTTAAGATGGAATTTATCGATAAATTTTTTTAAGTAAAATAACTTTAAAAATGTCTTGATTTGCATTTTAAAAATAAAAGAATCAATTTTAGGGTGTACTAAAAAATTTTAAAATTAGGCCTGGTTTGAGATGTTAGAAAAAATCTAAAAAGTCAAAAAGCTACAAAAAAACAAAAAAAATCACTATTCACAAATTAAAATATAAAAAAATTAATATACATAATATTTTAATACAAACCAATTTTACACTGTGAAATGTACTAAATTGATGAGAAAGTACCACGAAAGGAACAAAAAAAAATTACGTATATATATTCACTATGTTGGACGGTAATGTTGGGTTCATGGGGCCCACCACGGGTCCCGTTTTGATAATCCAAACATTCAATGTGTAGAAATCGTCCAGTACTATATGCCTATAAAAAATCTCGTTGATTAGATATCGCTAACTATATGATCAAATCAGTTTTGTATAAAAAAATTAAATTGATGAGAAAGTACCACGAAAGGAACAAAAAAAAATTACGTATATATATTAACTATGTTGGACGGTAATGTTGGGTTCATGGGGCCCACCATGGGTCCCGTTTTGATAATCCAAACATTCAATGTGTAGAAATCGTCCAGTACTATATGCCTATAAAAAATCTCGTTGATTAGATATCGCTAACTATATGATCAAATCAGTTTTGTATAAAAAAATAGATGGTGTTATATTTAACGGTTGACAAAAAAACTAATCCAATCAGACAGTTATAGATATCCAATCAACGAGATTTTTTATAAACATATAATACTCGACGAGTTGTACATATTGAACGGTTCCGATTAATAAAACGGGACTCATGGTGGGCCTCCACTGGTCAAAGAGTACCGTCCAAATGGTTTCCCGAAAATGAGGCAACCATTTCCTATTACACCACTCTGCAAACCTTGTTGTTACCGTACAACCTATGTTGTCAAAACTTTTCCTACACACTAATTACAGCCTAACTACATGATCAAAACTCTTCCTACAGCCTAGATCGAAGACGAAGACGTGAAGGTCTTAGAGGATGTCAGCAAGGAGCCAGCCGATAAGAGTGAATAAGCACTGAAGAAAATCCTCGCCCAGGAGGGGAATAAAGAACGCTTCTTTCTTCTCGGCTCGGGCTTAGCTAAAGAAGAGGAAAAAGAGTTGGAAGCTTTTTTTAGAGCAAATATTGAGGTGTTTGCTTGGACACCGTATGAGATGCCTAGCATTGACCTCGAGGTCACTTGCCATAAACTGAATGTTGATAGGTCGGCAAAACCGGTAATCCAACGAGCAAGAAGACCGACGTTGATACACGTCGAAGCAGTGGAAGAGGAAGTAGACAGACTTCTGGAGGCTAGGGCCATTCAAGAGATAAACTACCCGACATGGCTATCAAATATAGTGGTGGTAAAGAAGAAGAATGGTAAATGGAGGGTCTGCGTAGACTTTACCAGCCTGAACAAGGCCTGTCCCAAAGACAGTTTTCCTCTACCTAAGATTGACCTGCTAGTAGACGCCACTTCGGGGCATGGAAGGATGAGCTTCCTAGATGCCTACAAGGGATACCATTAAATAGCCATGCATCCCCAGATGAGGAGAAAACTGTCTTTATCACCCCAAAAAGCCTGTACTGCTACAGAGTGATGCATTTTGAGTTGAAAAACGCGGGAGCAATTTACCAAAGACTGGTAACCAAGATGTTCAAACACCTGATTGGCAGAACGGTGGAAGTTTACATCGATGACATGGTCGTGAAGACCAAGGAACCTAAAGGTCATCTGGCCGACCTGAAAGCAGTCTTTGACATCCTTAAAACATATCGGCTCCGACTCAATGCAGCAAAGTGTGCATTTGGAGTGGGATCTAGTAAGTTTTTAGGATACCTGGTGACTAGAAGGGGCATTGAGGCCAGCCCAGATCAGATTAAGGTCATCCTGGAATTGAAGAGCCCGACGTCGGCAAAATAGATACAAATGTTGATTAGAAGGGCCGCAGTCCTGAATAGGTTCATAAGAAGAAACTCAAACAAGTGCAAACCTTTCTTCAACTTAGTGAAGAAATCCACAGATTTCTTATGGACAGAAGAATGCGAGGTCGCCCTGGCCGACTTAAATAAATACTTGACCACAGCTCCAGTTCTTTCAAATCCAGAACCTGGGGAGAAGTTATTTTTGTACTTAGCAGTCTCAGAACATGCAGTAAGCGCAGTGGTAATCCGAGAAGAAAATGGGAGTAAAAGGCTGTTTACTATGTAAGCAAAATCCTGGCTGATGCAAAAGGTATCTACCCTTAGAGAAATTGGCATTGACTTTAGTAATGGCTTCAAAAAAACTGAACCATTACTTCCAGACCCATAAAATTGTGGTGCTAACTGAACACCCCTTAAAGTCCTTGCTACAACAAGAAGGCCTGACAGGAAGAATAGCCAGATTGGCAGTGGCCTTGGGACAATATGACTTGGAGTACAGACCCAGAACAGCAATCAAAGGCCAA